TTTTACTATACTAACATTTTCTTCCTACAGGACCCCACAAGGATATCATTATCCCATTTCAGCAGGAAGTAACTTGGAGAGTGCTACATCCCCTTTCCCCATTGTTGTCATTTAGGATAGTGTATATACCTAGTTAGGGATAGCTTCTTATTGTTTATGGTTGGGACATCTTTCAGATGACTTTAGGGTTTAGTTAAAATATATAGTTAGGATGTGACATAAGCAGATTGTTGTATCTTCTTATATTTCACCTTTATGATTGTTAAGTTTGGATACTTTGCACTGTTAAATTTTAATCCTCTTTTAGACTAAAAGGGGAATTGTAGGGGAACCTGTAACCATGCCTGCTTAGGGGCTGGCTACAGGTCTGCCTGACCATGCCTGCGATGATGTGGCCAGGGTGACGTAGAGTGAGAGGGTCAGGGCTGCATTTCACTTTCGTTTTCCCTTTTCGGCTTGTGTATAGACTGCTGCCATGCTGGCTGGCTAGGTCGCTCTGTAAGTAAAGCTTTTCCCTATTAAATACCCTTATATTTCTACTTGGCCCCATATTGGTAATTTCCCACTTTAAAATATAACTTGTTGATGTACAAAAATTTAACCTAGAATTTCTTACAGTTGTAGTCCATCACTGAAGAAAAGTCAGGGTAGAAACTGAAGCAGGAAGCATGGAAGAACACTGCTTACTGGCTTGCTCCCCATACTTTGTCCAGCCTGCTTTCCCATAGCATCCAGGACCACCTGCTAGTGGTGGTACCACCCACAGTGGGCTGGGTTCCCTCATAGCAATCATTAAGAAAATGTCTTACAGGCCAGCCGTATGAAGGTATTTCCTCAACAGAGGTTCCCTCTCTCATATGACTGTAGTTTATGTAAAGCTGACAAAAAAACTAATCAGAACGTCCATGAGAATAGTGTGTTTCTCCACTTAAGCCTTTGCTTTCTTTCACTTACATTCTGTAGTTTTAAATTTGCAGGCAATGGTTCATTTTTTTTTTAGTTTTAAATTTTTGAGTGCAATTGTATTCTTCTTAAAATTTTGTTTCCCAGACCCAGAAAGACAAACACAGTATGTACTCAGTCATAAGTGGATATTACATGTAAAACAAAGTATAACTATATAATCCTCAGCCCCAGAGAAGCTAGGTAATAAGGAGGATGCTAAGAGGAGCACATGGGTCTCCCTGAGAAGAGGAATTAGATGAGATGTCTTGGGTAATCTCAGGGCAGATGGGAGTATAGGCAAGGGTATGGGGGATGGGAACATGGGGGATCAGGATGGTCGAGTTGGGGGCAGGAATGAAGGGAGAGAAATGAAAGAGATATCTTCATAGAGAGGGCCATTATGGGGTTAGGGAGAAACCTGGTGCCAGGGAAACTCCCAGGACCTACAAGGATTACCCCAGCTAAGACTCCTACAGTAGTGGAGAGGGTGCCTGAACTGGGTCTTTTTCTGCAATCATATTGGTGACTATCCCAATTGTCATTATAGAACCTTCATTCAATATCTGATGGAAGCAGATACAGAGATCCAC